ATTAAAGGCAAGCAACCGAGTCCTGAGAAATAGACTTACAAAAGGACAACAGTAATTTATGACTTTTAACACTGAGTCCAAAATATAACATTTTCCTGTCATCTTTACTGACAAAAAAATGTCCTATTCAGGAGTTTAGTTTAATGAATAAAACTATATCAATAACAGAAGCAACTCATTATTTCAAAAGGGGCTGAAATCCTTAAAACTCAATGGTAAGTCATAGCTGTAGCTTCTATGGCTATGGCTTTCAGCAAGACACAGCTTGATAACAACTTCTTACCTCCTAATTTTCCTTCCTAAATATAAGTTTATTAAAATAATTCCTTGGTTGGATTAAGCTCTGCCTCCTTTCTTGTTTGCACTGTAATTAGAAAAATGCTAACTTGCCTCCTAAGAGACACCCCCGCAGCAATGCTGGGTCATCTTCGCCTAGGCGCATAGTCACTAAAATTTAAACCAGTATTCAGCATTATTCAGTGTCCAACAATTAAGGATTCAATTTAAACAGAATGCAAAGTAACTTTTAAGTTATAACAGAATGTTAAATAGTATAACATTAAAAAAACCAGGTTAATGTTTTACAAATATATATAACAAACTTCAAAATGCATGATTACTTATTCTGACAACTAAGTTGCATTCTGAAAATTCTCACAGTGTATTAACTTACAGTAGGCTATGTAAAAATGACATGAATGAATCATGCTGTGTTTCTTTGCCTGAAATTGTTTCACTAGTCCTGACTTTAGCAAGTTTGCCAAGTTACCAAATTCAAAAGATTTTTAATGGTTAATTCTGATACAAATTTTACCATATGTATCTGAGCAACTGAAGGAAGCTGTCCTTGTACAGTACTTGGTAAAGTACAATTTAAAGCTCTCCTTGTAAATGGGAAACTACAATTTAATTCAAAATATTCAGTCACTATTGTCACCAAAAATCTACCTGGTTATCTAAAGCAGCAGGTTTTTGAGACAGAAGCAATCAAATAAAAAGAATTAGCTTTTTTTAAGTTGTAGTAATGCAAGCTACTTTTTGTCATCCTAAAGCTGAAGTAGACTTGCTAAATCTGACATTACTGTTCAAATTCAATATACATTCTTGAGACAATGTCTGTAACCATGGAAATATTATTCAGCTCCATTCTTCTACTCAGAACATTATCTTGTACAAAGATTTATACCAAATTTTAGGTGCGATCATTCAACAGTACATCACTGTTATACCATTAACAGACTGGCACTATTTTACAAAGGCTTGGTTCGTTTCCCATTGACGCTTCTTTACAGCTGGGCAGGAAAATGTAGTTACCCAACTCTCACCCTGCGTCAACACTTACTTTCGTAAGTAAATATTAATGCTACAGAAAAGAGGATCTTGAGAATACTGTTGTGTGTGAAGACAAGCATAGAAGAATTAATGTCATGGTATGGCAGCTGTAACAGTACATACAATGAACAACAACTACAGAAGGGAAAAGTCATTTTAACAGCATATGAGTCATCTTGGGAGGTTCTTCTAAACATCTCCTAGCACTTTAGGACCTCTGAGTATACTCTATGGGGAAATGGGAGAACAAAAAGAAAAGGCACTTAACCAAAGGACAAAGGCCTGAATCAAGTAAGTTAGAGGGGTTATACCATTGAAAGACAGAATCAAATTATATAAAAAACATTTAAAATTTACCATAAAATTATAATTGCATAAAACATTGGCTGACCAGTTGTCTACCTACTATGTTTACCTTTGTGTACTTTTTTTGGGAAAAAATATTGACTTTACAGTGACCTTCAAACACTGGAAGAGACTGGGTGAAAACACTTGAAAATCTTACCTTGATTGCAGTTTTTCCCCTGCAATAATGTTACCATAGTCTCTCGAGACTGAAGGATGCCTAATCTTTAATTATCCTGAAACTTTTTTAAAAAGAGGAATCACTCTATATTTTGTCAATGCACTCCATGAAATCAAAACACCCTAATTTTCCTGTCGGCAAACTCTAAAACCAATATGTAAACTAGATTTAAAATTTATAAATATAGCCAAAATTGTTTTTGTTAATGTAGCAGCAAACACAATAAGATGTTGCAAGTCCTAAGAAAGTAATCCATCAGGTGGTTATGGTACAGTATAACTGATGGTTGCTTGGGAGTTGGAGAATCTTTCCTTTCATTTTGTTTGCTTTAGATCAAGATGAGACACTAAGTAGAGGTTGAAACAGAATGAGGAGGAGCATGGGTTAGCTGCCTGCTCCAATCACAGCCTACTGGAAAGTCACTTCAGAACTACTGGAAAACAGATGTCAAACCCACAGCACCGACACCTGGGACTTCAACTTAATTCTCATCTGTCTTCTTGGAGATGAGACAATATGAAAGGCTGAGCAAAAATGAATAATTTAAGCTATCTACTTTTTATCTTGATGGTAGAGGAAAGCAGTTATACAGTTTAGACATCTGAAGATTTGCCCATACCCTTTCTGCATACTTTGTAGAAGTCCCGAATAACCTAAACAATCACTATTATTTCTCCACAGGTTTGAATATACATGGCAGGAGACATATTTTAAAAGTAACTGAACTTTAAAACCTGTATTTGAATGTTATTGCTTGAGTCTGAGGCTCAGAGCCAGATTGCCATTTTAGCTCCAAGTACTCGAAATCGGTTCAGCTAAACTGCCAAGAATGACAGCTTTGATTTTTATTGCTTGTGAATACTGAGGGAGTTTAGTATAAGAGCAGTTAATATTTCAAAAAGGTATTTAAAATTAAATCAGACTTTTTAAAATGGCCTAAACAGATTTACTATGCAGGAAGTACCTCAAATCATTTTTAATTAGAATGCTGCTGATTCTATGTCTAGCCTCTTTATTTGTTCTGAATATCAGCTTGCATCTCTTTGACCTTAGAAAAAGAATACCACATTGGGAACTGCTTTTTAGGTTTATTCCAATGTCAAAGTTCTTTTTTGGAGTACTTAGGAAGCAGCTGCTATGCAATCACAATTTGATAGATTCTACAACATACCCAGGTACTTCATTTCATAAAAGTTGATCTGAGTTCTCATATGCCCAGCTTTGAAACTGAACATTTAGCCCAAACTGAATTGCTGAGTTTTCTGATCCATCAATTGATTAACTGATTTAATGTACTACCTGAATATATTGGAGGACAGGGAGATGGCTGTTTTGTTTTATGGGATGACACACAGAGTACCTTTTCACAACATCTAAAATTTTATCTTTAAAATTTTATCTTTAAAAAAAGGACAAACTTTAAAAGGAACTGTGATTTCTGCTAATTATCTTCTGCCCAGTATATACCGTATTTTTCGCTCCATAAGACGCACAGACTTTCCACATCCCTGTTTTGTGGGAAAAAAGTGAGTCTTATGGTGCAAAAAATACAGTAATTTTGGGAAATGACAAATGTTAAGGCTCTACCAAAAGAAGTTTGACTTCTTTCCCTCAGTTCATCTCCTATTACATAATAGAGAGAACAGAAACAGATAAATGAATATTGCCCACTCAAGATTTAATTTTCATAATATAATCAGGAAAGATGGTTTCATGCTCATTGTGAGCCAAAGTTCTTGTAGAATTAGATTCATGACTTAATGTTTGATGGTATTTCTTGTAGTGACAGTTTGCAAATATATTATTGTATCTGAATCCTTATATACAACATCTATTATTTTGTGTCATAGTAAACTTTCAAAATATCCACCACTTAAAACTTTTAATTTGGAAATCAGGCTATTAGTTGCCAAAAAGAAGCAACAGAATACTGTAGCTACAAACTGTCAGAAAATGGAAGATTTCTCTCTTTGTGTATGAAAGATATACTTCTGTGGAACAAGGAAGAATTAACCTATATCTTAACAATAAACAAACTGGGTAAGATAAGAAAATAAATCAATCAATATTTTGGGACATGTAAGAATTCAAGAATGCACAATTGAAAAGAACTTCTAATTAAGCATGGCTACTTAATTTTGTAGTTTCCACTAATCAAACCACATAAGAAATATGTTAGAAAAGCCCTTTACCTTGTATTGAGGTAAAAATGCAATACTTAATTGACCTTATTTTTTATTCCAGTCTTGTGCAAAGGTCTTTACTACTGGGCTCAACCCAACATTCAGTAACTGTTTATATTATATATTATTTAAATACAGTATATGTATGTTTTCAGATATACAATTAGTGACAAATCTAAATTAGTAAGATAAACTATCTGGCTTTCAAAGTTCAAAGAAAATATGTTTATAAAAGTGGTAACTAAAATTTTGTCTAGTAGATGACAGAAGAAATAATCTTGGCCTCTATACAATATTATAAGACTATGTGAGGTAGAATTCTACACAAAGCTATGGATTTCTGTGCCATTTCTACAGCAGCCACACATATTTCCCAATGTGTCTGTCTGAAATGTGACCTCCTTCTTAAGCAGTCCAAATGGCTGCAGTTGAAGTCTGAAAGAAACTTCCAACTATTACATGCTCTCCTGCAGGCAAATACAAACCTTTGACGGATGCTGGTCTTTGTTCTTAGAGGTATTAGAAAACTGGCCAATTCTATCTAAAGACAAAGTATGGCAGAATATGTCAGATTTGATGAAAGGCTTTTACATTAGGGACTCCTAGTTCTAGATTAGGAGATAATGAAAGTTTTTGCAGCAAATTGCTATGCCTTGATTTTTATTCTCTCTCACATAATAATTGTGACTGAAATACTCCAGCTGTACTAATTATGATGTGCAATACAGAATACTTTCCCAAATTTGATTCCCAAATATCTCATATATTGCTATCCAAATCAAAGTCAACCTAGAAGTTGCAAAATTGTGTAACAACAGGATCAGGTTTTATACCTCCCAGTTATGCTGGAGTTTAGGAATACTGCAGATAAGAATTTTAAGCCTGGACAGAAGGCACCTCAACTACTCTTTGGAGGAAGCTTTGAACAGTACTGATAAAAGCAAGATCTTGCACAGAAGCAACCTTTGTGTATCTTTTTATTTACTGGAATTAATACAGTGTGTGACTTTTTCAGAGCTACCAGAATGAGAAGAATGACAGAGACGACTATCTCCACAAAGGATAGCAACTAGATATTTCTGAACTATGTCAATTTATGAAAAGTAAGGCAACTCTGAAGTATTACAGCAAGGCTAATGGCATTTTTTTCTTTTTTTCAGAAGATACCTACATTGAGATCTGGTTTAATGAAGCCAAATTAGTCTCACACTATATATGGGAGATTCTACATTCCCTAAAGAGTGGAAATATTACAAGAAACACTCCAACTTGCCCTTCCTCCAGTTAAACCTCTGAAAGAAAAACCTCTGTGCTGCTCACTGGTATTTCCTACATGAAAGATTCCCCAGAATGAGACATTTGTAATCTTTACGGTCTTCAAAGAGAAATCATGGACAGCCTTAGCTTTCTGTGGAAAAATATTTTCTTCCCTTCTATACCTGACTTTATTCAAATCTGTGCAGACTGTTCCTATCTTATAGACTTCCCTGGGGCCTCCACTAACAGGATGAATGGTGACCTCTATTTTTGCTTCTCTTTACAGATCTTCCACCAGTCTGAAAAGAAGGTTTGTGCTGCTGTAGGTTTGACAACTGGACTTTTTCAGCCAATCCCCTCTGAACAACTCAGAAAGGACAAAAGGCTTTAGGAGTTCTTTAGGAGAAATTGATCTATGAGTTGATTTTACAAGAACACTTTCCTCCTTTTCCTTCTCTCTTTGATCAAGTATTGTTTTCCTTTTCTTTTTCTTCTTCCTCCTTTTCTTCTCACCACAGTGCTTGGAATCAGAATATGTAAACATTGACAGAAACAGCAGCTCTGTGTCCACATAAGCATTTTCCCAACTGGTCAGTCTCCATCAGCAATGCAGAACCACTTTAACTCCCTTGCTTATCAGGATATCACTGGGTTTTCCTCTGTAGTTTAGTTTCCCCTTTACTTTGGCCTCCATCTAGAATTTGAAGGTGGAAAAGAGAAAAGGATTTCAGATAAGATAATTTGTCTTACAACTATTAAAACTATATTAAAAAGGCCCATCATAAAATGAAAAATAGAAGAATGATTTGTGGACCCATTGACCCATGATGCCAATATACTCCAATGATAAAGACAGATACAAAGCTAGTATAAATATAGCTCAGAGGAGGCCAGTTATCTAGTGAGAAATTTAGCTGGAGAAATCCCTGATACATAAGGTAGCCTCGCATCTAATTATCAGAAGCAGGTATAAGAGAAATAAGAGAGCTGCTTAGAACAGCTCTGCAGTTCTAAGCAGATGGTAGTGATTATCATGAAAACTTTTGCATCAAATTGTGTTGTGCCTTGTAGAATGCCTTTTTTCTACCAATATCTCACTAATTCTTTCTGAAAACTAATGAGGGAGATACCATGTGATATAGTCAATTCACTTGATACTTTGTCTCTGAACGATTAGGGAGAAGCATATTCACTATGTGACAATATGCCACCAGGTTAAGAATTATTGCTGGGCTCTAAAGGTTGAAAAAGCAATCAGACACTTTAAAGCAATTGTTAGCAGATCTCTCTTTTAAAAGTATGTTTAAACAAGCATAAAACAAAACACTATAAACATAATAAAAAGTACAAAACCTAAAAAGGAACAAATAACAAAAAACCTCAAAACTATTACATCAAAAGTGCTTGCCCTGTCTGGAGGATTACCAAGTCTTCCTCTGTGGAGTCCCCATTCCCCTTCCAAAATTGTAACAACTCTTTCAAAGGTTTGCTTTCTTTCCTCTTTATTAACATGTAATCAATAAATTCTGCCCAAATATATAAAAAAACAATCCCTTCTTTACTTTAATGTTACACATTAAAGGTAAAGGTTCCCCTTGACATTTTAGTCAGTCATGTTTGACTCTAGGGGGCGGTGCTCATCCCCATTTCCAAGCCGTAGAGCCAGCGTTTGTCCGAAGACAGTTTCCGTTGTCACGTGGCCAGCGCGGCTTTACACGGAACGCTGTTTACCTTCCCACCGAAATGGTACCCATTTATCTACTCGCATTTACATGCTTTCGAACTGCTAGGTTGGCGAGGAGCTGGGACAAAGTGACGGGAGCTCACTCTGTCACGTGGATTCGTTCTTATGACTGCTGGTCTTCTGACCCTGCAGCACACAAAGGCTTCTGCGGTTTAGCCCACAGCGCCACCACGTCCCCACAATGTTACACATTACCTTATTATTAATTATAGCAAAGAATTGGAAAATAAACTATGATTTTCAATTAAATTAATGGTATACAGAATAATATACATTAATAAGGTAATGTGTAACATTATTATTAATAGCTATATTCCATACTTCTGTATACCATTAATTTAACTGAAAATCATAGTTTATTTTCCAATTCTTTGCTATAATTAATCTTGCAACTGTTAATAAATTTGAAATTAATTCCGTACTTGACCAATTACATTGCTTCTAATCAAATACTGATAAGAGTGCTATTTTAGGACATACCTCTAAATTTTGTTGAGTTATTTCCTTCATTTCCATAAAAAACAATTGCCAAAATTTTAGTACATTCTTACATTCTCACCACATATAGATATTTCCTGATATCGTCTCCTACACAATTTAGGGTAATTTGTATTTATTTGACATCATTTCACCAGAGTTTAATATCATCTCTAGTGCCAGTAGTTCTCATGGAAAATTTGACCAGAAGAGTCACAAGGATCAAGCTCCCCTTTTTACTTTTAAAAAGATACTAGTTGTTTACCTGTATAAGCTTGCTGCAAATGAGCAGGCAGAGGTGTGTGAGACAATGCTGCTGCATGCTGAGCTCCTGGTTGTAAACCCTTTAGTAAATCTGAAGTGGCATAGATAAGAAAAAATGAATACAAATACAAAAAGTAAGCACTGATGGATGCAACAATCTCTTCTGCATGTGTGAAGACAGCATCTTCACTCACCTTTATCCAATACATCTGAAGCTATGCTTGTAAGTTCTAAACACAGAGAGACACACACACACATATACAGTTTTCATTAATGCTTGCGTATATAACCACTGGAAGAGGTTGTCAAGAGTATAGCTTTGGGGTGCCTGATGGATTCTGATCTTGGATGCCCAGGTTTCAGTGCCTTTGCAGTAGTAAAACTACTGTGCCAGCTGTGCCCATTCCTGAAATGGTTTGATATGGTCATGGTGACACATGCCTTAGTCACATCCTGGCTGGATTACTGTAATGCGCTACATGTGAGGTGGCCTGTGGAAAATATTCGGAAACTTCAGCAAGTCCAAAATGCAGCAGCCAGATTGTAATGGGCTGGTTACAGCAATCACATAACCCTCTCCCCCCATTACAGCAGCTCCACTGGCTGCTGATCCATTTCCAGGAACAATTCAATTCAATTTTAACTTATAAAGCCCTAAATGATTTGGGTCAAAGCTCTCTCAAGGACTGTGTCTCCCATTATGAGCTTGAGCAGGTGTTAAGCTGATCAGGAGAGTCCTTTCTCTCAGCCCCACCACCTTCACAAGTGCATTTGGTGGAGACACAGGAGAGGGCCATCTCCATCACTGCTCCCAGACTTTGGAACTCCCTCCCATAAAAGGAGAGCTTGGCCCCATCTTTGCTGTCTTTCTGCAAAGCTTTCCCTTGGCGACTGGCTACCTGAGTGGGGTTCTTAAGTTGCCTTACTGCTTTTGGTGTTGCTTTTGTTTACTATTTTTTGATGTAGCATTTGTCTGACTCTTTTTAGTATTTGGATACTAACCCCTTAACCATAAACTGCGATGTACTTCTATATATGTACTTTCCTTCTACACTGATTATACAGAAAGATACTCCCCCTGCCCCCACAAAAGACAGCACAGCAAATTATCCAGTTTTACTTACTCTGAGCTAGGCTGTGGTGGAAAGCCGCTGAGGTAGATCCAGACGTGGCTGTCACTCCAGCTGTATCTGTTCCAAAGCCAAGTAGGTCCAATGGAAACTGAAAGGGCATAGTCACATGACCAAGGCTACCCAGCATCCCAAAAGAAGCCAATGGAGCAGATGTCACATTCTGATTGGTGACAGACAGGGGTGATGTCATGAGAGTCAATGGTGAAGCAGTTGCCAGTAATGACGCACCTGTTGTTGACTGTATAGAAACAAGTGTTATTTTTAAATCTGTTATATAGCTTCTGAGGCACACCCAAGAAATTAATTATTTATATGTTTTGAATTCTACTTTCATGAAAAAATAAAAATAAAAAATGTACTACAATACTTTTCTTTTGCTTTTGTAATATACATTAAAAATAAAGTTTAGCATTCTGTAATCATGTTCCACATTCCTAAGTATATTTTGATACAACTTTTATGAGAATCACAATTTCCTTCTACAAAGTGGAAATGTACTGTTCCTTTTTTCCTGCTGTTAATTAAAATGACTGGGTTAGATATAATTGTGATAGTTAGGAAATTACATCCTGCTGTTTGTTGTTACAGCTGCATTTATATATTTTATTTTAATCAATCCAGCTTTTAAAAGCATGTATGAATGTCATCCAATACATGCTTACTTGGAAGAAAGTCTTAGCAGCAGTCAGCAGGTCTTACTCCTAAGAAAAGTGCTAGGATTACAACACCAGTTTAGGGAACAGAACAGCCATAACCAAAAAACCCAGGTTTATATAGACAGGTATTTAAGCACATTTAATAGGCTTGTGAAGGCAATTTCCTGCCTCCTTCCAGGTAAAGGTTCCCCTTGACATTTAGTCCAGTCGAGTCCGACTCTAGGGCGCGGTGCTCATCCCCGTTTCCAAGCCACAGAGCCAGCGTTTGTCTGAAGACAGTTTCCGTGGCCAGCGCGACTAGACATAGAATGCTGTGACCTTCCCACTGAGGTGGTACCTATTTATCTATTTGCATTTACATGCTTTCCAACTGCTAGGTTGGCAGGAGCTGGGACAAGCGACGGGAGCTCACTCTGTCATGCGGATTCAATCTTACGACTGCTTGGTCTTCTGACCTTCCAGCACAGAGGCTTTTGTGGTTTATCCCACAGTGCCACCACATCCCTCCTTCCAGACCACTACCCTAATACTGATGAGAAGGTTGGGAAAACCTGTTGCACTCTGTGGCATGAGATGAAGGGCAAATTCCAACAATTTGATACAAATATCTTCCATGAATCAATAATGTTCAGACTGAAGATGTCTACTGATTTTCAAAAACTCCCTTCCACTTCTATAACGTCCTACTCTATATAGCATGGTCCTTTAAACTTCTAGAACAATTTTTTGCATGTGAACTTGGGACTGTTTTGGGAAGGAGAAGTCTATCTCCATCAGCCCAGATGTATATGAGGAAATCTGGATCCAAGATTAAAAATACAATTCAGGAATATGTGTAAATATTTAACCATCTTTATTTCACTTTGAACATGGCAATGTTTGTAGCCAAGATAAGTGATTTAAAGGTGTATGGTATAATTATTAACACTTGTCTATTACTGAAACAGTTCTGTAGCTGGAGAAGAAATACATTAACTGTCTTTTGAAAAACTAAAGAAGTTTATAAGATTCTTAAGAATAGCCACTATTTATTTAGAGCTAGCATTGATCAACAGCCTATCAACATCACCACAGAGTCTATGCTCCAACTCCAGATGCTGAAGAACAAGAAATCAAAAGTTGATATGCAAGTGTCCTGGAAGAAAATGATCATACAGCAAAACAGAATGTGCTGAAAATCACAGGTAACTAGAATGCAAAAGTAGGAAATAAAGCAGAACCAAACACTGCTGAAGAATTTGGCTTAGGAGTGAGAAATGAAGCAGAAATGGATTGGACTGCAGTCTGAAATTGATAAACAAATAGTCAAGGAGTACTCTACTACTTTAAATGAGTTCAAATCTCTGCGGCTGGATGAACTGCATCCAAGGATATTGAAGGAAGTAGCTGAAGAGGTTCAGAACCACTGTGTATTATTTTCTTGAAATCATGGATGAGTGAAGTGCCAAACAATTGGAGGAGGCCTAATGTTGTTCTTATCTTCAAAAACAGCAAAAAGGAAGAACCTGGGAACTAAAGACCAATCAGCCTAATATCAATCCCAGGGAAAATTCTGGAGAGATTATAAAGCAGTCACTCTGTAAGCACCTTGAAAAAATACAATACTGTAATAACTAGAAGCCAACATGGATTTGTCAAGAACAAATTCTGCAACGCTTTACCTTAATTTTGATCAGGTAACCTCCCTGGTAGATGGTGGGAGTGCTGTAGACATAATATATCTTGACCTGCAAAGCCTCTGACAAAGTGCCCCATAATATTCTGATTAGCAAGCTTACTAAGTGTGGGTTGGCTAGAACAACTGTCAGGTGGATATACAGCTAGTTACAGATTTGTACTCAGAAGTGCTTATCAATGACTCCTCAGACTGTGGGGACATAACAAGTGGGATGCCAGAAGGCGCAGTGCTGGGCAATGTGCTCTTCAACATTATTAATGACTTCAATGAGGGAGTGCGGGGAATACTTATCAAATCTGCAGATGACACAAAATTGGATGAAATACCTAACACCTTGGAAGACAGGGATGAAATTCAAAAAGATATTGACAGGCTTGAGCACTGGGATGAAAGCAACTGGAATATAACAGGGATAAGTGCAAAGTTCTACACCTGGGGGAGAAACCCAAGGACACAGTTTCAAGATGGGGATACTTGGCTCAGTAATCATGCTTTAAGAAGGATGCCAACAAACTGGAGCAAGTTCAGAAGAGGGCAACAAGGAGGATCAGCAGACTGGAAACCAAGCCCTATGAGGAAAGTCTAAAAGAGCTGGGCATGTTTAGCCTTGAGAAAAGAAGACTGAGGGGAGACTGATAACACTTTTCAAATCCAGTGGTGCTTTGACTTACGAACACCTTGACCTATGAACAATTTAACTTATGAACAGCTCCATTCGTAAAAATTTGCTTTGACTTGAGAATGGAGCTTTGAGTTACTGATGGAAAAAGGCAGGGAAAAGGAGCAGGAAATTTAAATGTACTAACGGTTGGTGGCGAGGAGGCTGCTTCTTTGTAGCTCTTTCACCCCAACGAAAGAGCTATAAAGAAGCGGCAGTGGTGCTGGTGGGTTTCCCTGCCTTTGTCCATTTGTTCCTGGAGTCCGGCTGGGAAGCGAGCAGCGGGGACGGAGCCAGCGCGGGGAGGCAGGAACCTGGGAAGTTCAAATAGCCTCCCGGCTGGGCTCTCCCAGCACTGGCTCCGTCCCCACTGCTCCTGCCTCCCTGCACTCCTGCCTCACTGCGCTGGCTCCGTCCCCACTGCTCCTGCCTCCCCAGGCTCCTGCTTTCCCGTCGGCAGAGGAAGGTCGGGTGAGCTACCAGATAGCTCTCCACCGACGGTGGTTTCGGTGGCGGTGGGGCACGCGTGGCTGCGGGGAAGGCCGGGTGAGCTACTGGATGGCTCCCCACTGTGACGGACAGTCGTTTAGTCACACCTGTCCATCACGTTAGAACCCTGATGTCAAAGCCAATGATAGGACAGGAGGGCAGAACCAAGGAAAAAAAAAGGGTGGACAGTTATGAAAAGTTAGAGCAGGGGAAGAGTTAGAGAGGAGGATAGGGATATATAGAGGGATAAATAGACCAGGAAGATAGGATTTAAAAAAGAACACTTGGAAAGTTAATGTATAAAAGAACTGCAAGAAGTGAACGTTATAAGAATTAAATAAACAGTTACACCATGATTGAAAACAAATATAAATGAACCAACATATGTGTAAAGCAAAAGAAGTTTAATTAATTTCAACTACAGTACCATCCATGATTTTCTTTGTGCGTTTCACCTGTTAATCTTTAAATAAACATTGTTACATTTAACATCAATGATTCTGTGTTCATGATTGGTAATTGAGGAAGTAATCCTCTAGGGAGAAAAGGGACAGTCATGCCCGAAGGCAAATCTGTCCGTTAGGGAAAACAAACAGAGGAGCTGGGTGTGTGTGACACCTGCCGATGGTTGTTTTGGCGGCGGTGGGGCCCAGGCGGCTGACCATGGCCGGGAGGCTTGAGAGGAGGCTTCATGGGGAGGTAAGTGTGCTGCTTTTTACTGTTTTGGGTGGCGTTTGCAGGGTGGGATTGGGCTGGTGGGGTTTTGTTTGTGTTTTGTGTTTTGCAGCCCCGGGGGCTTGCAGATTTTTTTTTTGGGGGGGGGGTTCCGTCCGGAACGGATTAATGAGTTTTCAATGCATTTCTATGGGAAATGGTGCTTTGACTTACGAACATTTTGACTTACGAACGCCATTCCAATGTGGATTAAGTTCATAAATCAAGGCACCACTGTACTTGAAAGGTAGTCAATGGCCTTATAGGCCTCTTCCAACTCAATTATTCTATGATTCTATGACTCTCAGAAATCTGTTAAAACAATAACCTGTACATTGCAAAGACATGCTTCAGACAACCAAACAGATAGCTGAATACATGGACATCAGCACATGGCCAAAACAGAAATCGAATACATTCAATAACTGGAAGTTGCAGGTGGAAAAGATTATTCTCCCTGTCAAAACAAGATTAGGAGTAGATTATGATACTATGAATTGTTAATATAAAAAAATTACAGTAAATTTGAAAAGAGCGCTAAAAAGAATCACACTGCCAATATCATCATCATCATCATTATCATCTTATAACTGCAGAGCTGGAAGGAACACTGGTGAATGACTGAGTCCAGTGCCTACAAAAGAGGCACAGGGGGAATTTGTATTACTAAACTCAACAGACAGTGAGCCAGAAGAACTGTGAATTGAATTCAGAGATATTATAACGGAACACTGAAAAAAGATAAATTTTTTAGTCTAAAGAAAAAGTTAGGGGCATGACTGATGAAACAATTACAATTGTTAGCAAGAAGGAGGAAAAATAAGAAGTGACAGAAACGGAGTAAGAACTCTAAATGCTTTTCAGTGACTATCATGCACAGACATTCGCAGAAACCCTGTTCCATAAATTATGCTGTTCAAGGTTGATTGTCATCAGTTGTGGCCATTTTTTTTGGAAGTAAAATATTTCTGATTTCCCCAACCCAATTCTCCTGTGTAATTCCTTTTGGTATGAGAAAGCTGTTAAGAGTGCACAGGATGGGGGTGGCGGGCAGTCTTCAGTTCTGAAAACAGTTGGGATGACTTTACTGTCACTGAAAATTTTCAGAAATTAATGACTCTCCCCATTCCACAGCTCCAAATAGCTTCCCTAAAACGAAAGGAATTCCACAGCAACCCCAGGATACTTGGAGGGGGATTGGAAATGTGGCCTAGAGTGGTCATATTGACCAGATAGGCGGGATATAAATTGAATGAATGAATGAATGAATAAATAAATGAATGAATGAATAAATAAATAAAATTTATTAAAAAAATCACTGTGGCTGATGACATCATCAGCCTTACATGACATTAATTACCGAACAGAATTTCAGCCAAAGAGAACTATTATAACAATCAGTGCAAATAGAAGACAACAAAAGAAGAAAAACAGGAGATTTCCCCCATTAAAAAATCCATGTAATCAAAAAGTAATTTAAACTTAGATTAGGAATGCTATAAATTCACCAGGGGAACATATTATCTGACCAGGATAAAATAAAGACAAGGTGGAAATAATATACTGAAGAACTATGCAGAGAGATGCAAATACTGTACAGTGGTGCCTCGCTATGCTGAAGCATCGTTGAATGGGGCAGGGAATTCCACTGGAACGCATTAAACATGGTTTAATGCATTCCAAATGGGGCGAATACTCACCGTTCAGCGATGCTTCTTAATGGCCGGCAGCCATTTTCGTGCCCTCGCCTCACTTAACGAGGGCGCGAAAACGCTGTGCGCGGCCATTTTGGGCCATTTCCGGGCTTCCGGCGGCCATTTTGGCCGCCGAACAGCTGATCGTCGGGCTTCATTTTGCGAAGATCGGTAAGCGAAACGCTTACCGATCTTCGCAAAGCGAATTTTGCCCTATCAAAAAAAGTTGAGTGATCGCATTAGCGATCCCAAAAAAGGGATCGCTATGCAATTTCATCGTTGAACGGTGTGCTCGTTAAGTGAGGCACCACTGTATGACAAGGTTTCTGTAGCGTTCTCTATTTATTTGATCTATGGTCTATGTTATGCAATATAATGGTTTATGAATATTAATGTTGCAGAGAGGAAGAGCTGAGACATGCTATAAGAGGTGGAGCCTGAGTCAATATTTCAGTCAGTTTGTAGAATTTAAGTCAGATTGAGTCAGTAAGAGTAGAGTCAGAGAGTGTAATAGAATGTGTAGTTTGGGGAAATTCTGAGGAATGATTAACTACTGAAGATATTCATGAATCAATGTATGTATTCCATAAATCAAAGTTTTATTTAAAAGAACTTGAAGTGTGGACCTGAATCTTTCTGAAGTAAATGGTGATTTAGAGATCACCTGGTGGCAGCAAGTGAAAAGAGTGAGGTTTGTTTGCCTTCATGTGCTCTGGGGCTTGAAGGTCAAGCAAGGGGCACGAGGGCGGACGCCACAGTTCCTTTGAAGAAGAATCTTGTGATGAAGAGCCAACCATTTTGTGAAGCAAAGTGAAAGTGCTCTTAAAGCACCTGAAACAAATAAATCACCAGATGTACATGAGTCACCGACAGAACTGTTCCAAGCTATAGAGACTGAATCTATCAACATCTTAACAATATGCTAAAAATATGGACAACTGGAAACATCCAATCTATGGTACACTCCAATCCTTAAAAGCTCAGAGACTGGAAATGTTGCTAAAGTCAACATATATTATGTCTATAGCAATCCCACCATCTATAAGGCAGATCAACAGATTAAAAAATTGGATAAAATTAGTCTGGCAGGATTTGTTCCTGACAAATCTGTGTTGGCTTCTAAATTATCACTGCATCTTTCCTCTGAGAAACACAATGGTTTCTCATAGCAAAAATGTATTTTATCTGCGTATCTATTCAATCTATATGCAGAATATATCATAAGTAAAGTTGGAATTAGATTCAGATGAATCTTTTGGAAGATGGATTTGATACCTAAGAGAAAAAGTATGAGATGGCAGAATGAGACATGATACTGGTACTTTGAAGAAGGCCTCCGAAAGAGCTGTGCAAAGTACACAATCCTTATTACATTTTAGCACACCATTAGCAGTCACTTTCACCTAAGGACCACGATTCATAAAGAGAAAGATATGTCTGAATAAAGAAAAGTGTAAAAATTGGAATGGGATGTTTTTAAAATAATTTATTTTATAATAAATATTTTATGCCAGAATAAACCCTGAAACAAACTTCAAGGAAATGTAAATGACTGCTGCCCACATCAGGACAGGGATACAATGATCAGAGTGATAGAACATTAGATATGGATTAGATCCATTAGATAAGGATTCTGACTTTGCAAGCTACAGGATAAACACCAAATTTAAATTCAGTTAATTCATATAAATTTATACAGTGGAAAGAGAGAACGGTGTGGGTGTTTTGATTTAGGCTCCACCCTCTACTGCTATACAGCCCACAATCATATTCTCCCAAAGAAATGGAGCTCATTAATTGTTCCATAAAAGATTTCCTTTCCCCATCCCTTGAAAAAAAGATGAAATATGGGAGATATTTAATAACAACTTGGGTGGGTTTCTGCCAACAGTGAATTGGACTTTCTGCATCTTCTTCAGATACCATAGTTATTCCAAAATACAATATAACTCACTCTTTGTAACAGTGTGTTTTCTCCACCCCACATCACTAGCTGTCAATAGAAGGACAAAGAAAAGAAAAAGCTAATCACATTACAGCACAAAGTAAATGATTCTACATACTAGACTTCTACACAGTAAAGGAATGTTATTCTCAGTGTTGCAGTTAACTTTTATGATGCAAGCGTCATCTCATGCTCAATACACTGTGCGGTTCTTACCATGCATTATGCTGCAATTCTATACACAGTCACCTCGGAGCAAGTCCTACTATATACACTAGGACTATCTATCAGCAGATACTTACAAGACTGTGCTCTAATTCTGCTTACAAAGAAAGGAATATAAAAAAATATTAAGTATCATGTTATTAGGTTTATAATGAATGTTCACATTCAACACATACCTGCACACTGGCTGGGATAACTGTAGACCCTGAAGCAGAAGATGGTTTATGTGGAGTTGACAATTGTTTAGTAGCACCCTGTGTTCCACTTCCTGTTGCCGCAGAGAGATTAGTCCTATTAGCTCCACTTGAATTAAGGTTGCTACCCCTGTTGACAGATACATTCAATCCAACTCCACTCAAGTTATTTTTGCCAACAGTTCCAGAGGCAGAAGAGTTGGATAATTTTGAAGGGGCCTGAGGATTCTTTGCTGGTTGAAGGCCTGAGGTGTGGTTAGAGGGCAGTAAATTAACTGTAGGCGACTGCCTGCTGACATTGGCTCCAGTGGGCTGTTTATGAAGGGAATTGTTGCTGCTGGAGTGAATACTCTGGGATATTAGTGCACTTGAACTGGAAGAACTAGAAGATGACATGGGCTTGGGAGCTGAGGTGGACTTAGATGAAGAGAGTTTAGGAGACACAGTAGACTTGGGTGTTACAGAAGGCTTGGACATTGTGGGCTTGGGAGAAGCAGCAGGTTTGGGGGAGGAAGCCATAGAGAAAGGAGGCTTGAAACCCTGGGTAGAAACTTGTGATACCATGGCCTTGGCTAAATAGTTACTAGAGGTAGAGGTACTGGACGTTGTCCGAGACACAAGTGGGTGAGCCATTTGAGAACTACTTACAGAAGTGGTGCTTGACAAAGGAAGGCGATATATTACTGGTTTATCTGAAGTCTTAGAAACTGGGGAAGAACAAGAGAGTTTGGGATTGCTACTTAGTTTTACCACAGGGTTGGTCTGAGATTTACTAATAGTTGCTTGTAAAGGGGACACATATTTTTGTTGGGCAGCTGATTGCTGGTGAACCTTTGTCACTTGTAATGTTGAAGAGCCACAGTTTTGAACTTCTGAAGAAGTTACAAGCCCAGCTGTATCCTTCGGCCTCTGTGAAGCGGGAGAAGTTGTGGCTGGGACCTTACAGGAGGATGAAATATGAGTTTGTGAAGAGGATGCAGCTTGAATTTGGCTTGACCTCTGTAATCCTTGCTGTAGAAGCTTGGCTGGCAAGGGCTCCAAGGATACCTTGGGGTTTTGAATAGAAGATCCAGCAATAAGGCCTGAAGAGATACCAGTCTGAAGTAAATCTTGAGATTTCTTTGGTACTGATCCTGTGTGCCCAGCTATAAGACTTGAAGAATGTGGTGTCTGAGCTGTCTCTACCTTTTTTGAGGATGCTAGAGGTAACTTGCTCATTATACTTGCTAATTTCTCTTCTCTCAATCCAGGCCGAGGTCTTGAAGTTGGTGTCTCTACAGAGGGCCCAACCGGAGAACTCTTGGCTCCATTATTAATAACTGCCAGAGCATCAGAAATAGAATCTAATGAAGGTGGGTTGAAAGAAAGATCTTCATCTAGTGAGTCATCCAAACAGATTGTCTCTGGAGCTGGTATACAGCTAGAACTGGCCAGAGCAGTTACAGGTGTGCTGGTACTTGAAGCAAGAACACAGGTTGAAGCAAAAGGGGCACAGGTTCTCTGCTCCTTCTTTGGACTAGAGTCCTAGTATTAAGGGACAAAACAGAACTATTAGGAAAAAAAACATGCATTCCATGCATTTGCCACCATAACTTGATTAGGTAATACAGTTTACATTTAAGGTAATTTGTGTTATTTGATACCAAGCTGCAAATATGTATGTTTGCTTATTTATCAAAAAAGTTTCAGAATGTACGAAAACTAAATCCACCAAGCATAAATTTTAAATATCAAGACCATCTTCTGTAAAACAAGAAGGTGCATTTATTCCTGGCACCCATCCATCCCCAACAAGTGCTTCTGTTTCAAAATGGGAAAGCCTCATGAGATGCCCAAGAAATACAATCAGTAAGGGTAACAAGATTAGCTGGAACTTAGTCTCCAAGTAGACTTGCAGGAAACTGATTCTCTGTTATTTTAGAAGGCAATTTAGAAATAAATAAACTAGACTTCTGACTCAATTTATTAGGCAAAATTCTGTTTGCATAATTTTGCACCTGTGTAACCACGATCAGGCACAAGAAACATTTAATTCACATTAATGAAAAGCTTCCTATCCCCCATTATAAATTCTGAACCTCTTCAGAGCTCCCTTTTGCCCTGGGGAAGCCTCTGGGAGCCTTGGGATGGGAACTGGGGAAAGCCTCTAATAGTCAAAGATTGCTGCTGGTTGTCCCTATCCTGGCAGTAGCAATCCAGCCATGACTTCTGACTTCTAAAGGCTCCTTCCCCCTATTCTGTAATATGTCTAAATACTATCTTTAAGTCTAACACACATCACAAGATAATTCTAAGAATAAAATAAGAATTCCATAAATGTTGTCCTGGGTTTTGATGAAAGTGCACAATATGTATGTTATAATCAAAAAGACAGATGGATGTTGGAACTGTAATGCTTTAAATATAGTTACAAAGTACATTTTTCTACACATTTGGTACTGATATTTGTATGTCTTTACTTTTTTGTCTTACTGTATTTTTCCATGTCTAAGATGATACTTTTATCCAAAATCGTTAGACTAAACATTTAGGGTCACCTTATATACAGAAGTACACTGAGGAGAGAACAAAAACAAGTGGAGGGGGAAAGGGATCAGAGCATTCCCACAGCTGCATGAAGGGGAAAGGGATCAAAGCGATCGTGCAGCTGTGGGATTGCTTTGATCCCTTTCCCCCTCCTTTTGCTAAGACCAGCTTAGATTTCTTAATTTTGGGTTAGAAAAGTGGGGGGGGGGGTCTTATACATGGGACACCTTATACACAGAAAAATACGGTACTTACCTTTGCTTTGGGTTTAGGTGCCAGAATCACCTTCTTCTTTGCTCTGAAGAAAAAGCACAAGCTAGTTAGAAGGCAAATATATCACTTGCTTTTGGAGGGGTTCAGGCACTTTCATAGACCAATTGAACACACACTGGCGATAAACACAAGTTTGCAGAACACAAAGAAAAGCACAGGGAAAATTTCTTAATTGTGGGATTACTGGGGGTAGCAATTTTCAGTAATTAAACTCTTCCACCTCCTGCCCCTTGGCTCCCCATGATTTCCATGTAATGACAGGGATTACACAAGAGCCAGACAGGAAGCATTTACTTTCCAAAAAATCGCCTCTTACTGATAATGTCATTTGTCTTTTGGAAGTGTAGTCAAACTAAGAAAATTTCAGACAGAAAGTGCTAAAACATCGCTTCTGCTACACACCTTGAAATGGCTTGTCTGTTGAGGCTTTTCACACAGTATTTAAAAAGTAATATCTAAATCAGGAGTGGACAACTTTGGCAGATGTGGGAGCTAATTTTCATATATACACAGGATGTGCTTCAAGTCACATACTTAAGAACCTTGTGTGCTTTTTTCTGTTTTTTTTTTTAAAAAAAAAACCTGACTAGACATTCACTTTCACTGAACAGAAACTCCCCCAAACCACACATTTTCAGTACATCAAGGCCATGTTCCTTACTATATAGGAGAATAAAGCTAAATCTGGGCTTCCAGGTGCAAAGTTCTCCTTGTTTTGTGCATTTGCACACATACATTTCTTGGTTACACTAGGAGGTTATGTATCTCCTGGGGTTTAATAGGTATATAGGGATAGTGTGACTGAATTCCTGTTTGTGCAGCTATGTTCCATAAGTTTTATGATGTCATCAGCTGCAGCAATTATTTTTGGAAATTTTCCTAAAATTATCCTATCAATGGCAATTTCTGAAAATTAAAGACTTCCTCCTGTTGTACAGCCCCCAATGATTTCTCCATTATGAAGCGCATCTCACTGGATCTTTGGAGAAAAGGGAATAAGAATTTATTTTATTTTCAATAAATCATCCCGACATAATGTAATCAGTTTTAGGTGGCTTAACTTATAGAACAAAATTTCAGCCAGCGTGTTGCACACAATTCATCTAGGTACTTTCTATCAGACTCCAATGCTTTTAAAGATATAGAATCACCATGCCACTATGAAAAATATTTTATCTAGAATGCTTGTAAGACAACTATGCAAAAAACTATTTACTTATTTTTTGCCAACTACTGTATATGAAATACAAAGCTGAAAAATTAGTGAGTCCCTAATTTCCGGAATAGTCCCACCACAGAAGCACATCCCTTCTTGAATAATTATCCATAAGAAGGATGCTGAAAATATGTAAAATGGCACATTAGTAATCACATCAAATATCAAAAAGATAAACAAATAGTGAAATATGGAGCATCTATTTCATGTAACATCACTGTTTTTCTTATGGAGGGAATATTATGAATATTTTGCCATATACTGATTGACATTTCATAAGGCAACCAGAAGTTAATTAAAATTGCTTCAGGGCTGAGAAAGCTAAGTTTGCAAATAACTTTTTAGGTACTTCTGAGCAACAATTCAGAATTCAGAATTCCATATTTTTCTTATCTCTCCCAACCCGAATATCCAGTTACTCCTATTTTGTGATAGCAGTATGGTATATTCACTGAAAACAAATTCTAGAGCCCTACTCCCACTACTGTAGTGCCATGTCATGTAATGTATGAGGAGGTGCTGATAAGTATTAAGCCTTTCCCAGAAAAAAATGAGCTAGGAAGCTTTAACTGCCACACTATTCTACATATTCCCCCAATGCACTTGCGACATCTGTCCTGCAGCTTCTTAAGTCCCCACAAATAAAATTCTTCTGACTGCTGGTGTAGCCACTTATTTGCAGCATTAGTTGCCTCCAGAACACTCCCAAATCGTTGTCCCTTTAGGTATTTTTTTGAGTTTGGGGAACAGATAATAGTCAGAAGGAGCCAGGTCGGGAGAATAGGGTGGATGGGGCATCACTTGAAAGCCTAAGGATGTCAGTTTTG